CGACATTCTCTTCCCACTCAACCTTCTTCACGTATTGGAGTGAAGGAAACTTTGACCTCAAAGTTTCTCGATTAATTGGCGGCATCTTAGTATACTTGAGTACCAAATATTTCACATTATCCCACTGCCCTTCCTCATCTAATAAATTCCTGAGCCTTCGTCCCTTAATGTGTAGCGTCTCCAGATTCATCAGTTTGCTGGGCTTTAACCATTCTGGCTTCCTGTCGTGAGGCATGCCTTCAAGATCCAGCTTTTGTAGCCCTGGCAGAAAAGACACAGACTCTTCAACATCTGTTTTACCCCAAGATATTTTCAGGCACTTTACCTTTTCCAAGTCCTTCAACTTCTCGAATTCCTCTCCCTGGATAGTAGCCTCACTCCTTATATGTATATTCAATTGCTTGAGATTCTTCAGGCTTCGAAGATGCCATATTCTGATGGGAGTCTTCTGTGAACTGCCTATTATGAATCCCTTGAGTATTTCAGCAAAGTGAGCTTGTCGAGACCCTTTGGCAAGCCCTCCAGCAGGTAACATTCTGATACATCCAAATGTGTGAGCTTTTTCAGTGATGCAATGGCAACAGGCAAGGTTTCTAGATTGTGACAGGCCTTGAGGTCCAGGATTTCGAGGCTGGCCAGTTCTCTAATGGAGTCAGGAAGCGAAGTTATTCTGGAAATCCCACGCAGGCTGAGATACTTGAGCAGTTTCTGGGTCTTCAAACCTTTTGGGAAGGATTCATCTCGAACTTCAATGTGATGGGTGGGAGAAACCTGCCAATGACCAAGCTGAAGCACGGCCAATGTCTTCAGTGTAGCAAGCCACTGGTGTCGAAAATGAAGATGTCTCCCGTTTACATTAAAAATGGTCCTCAAAGTCTCTGGTATGGATTTTGTTTCAATTTCCGAATTAAAGGGATCATCGATCAAACAAGAACGCTAAGAATGGGTGGCATCAAAACGTGGTATCTTGCCCTGATCTGGTATCCCGTGCTCTAATTTCAAAAGCTTCTCTTTCAGGGCAACTGAGATCAACATGTAACGAAACCAAAGGAAAAATTCAACATTTACTCACTCTTGGGCACTTGTCATGGGGTATAAGTAATTCTAAATCCAAAAGCTCTTGGAATACGCTTTCGCCTTCTTCCTCGTGCCGGACCAACCCTTCCCCCATCCACCAATAAATAAGCCTTTTCTTGAGAATAGCATTGTTAGGGAAAACTGCCAGGGACAAGCAAATTCCCCGGTTATGCTTAAGCTCATCAAGACAGAGGAAGAATTCATGACTCTCACAAAGACATTTCATGAGTGGATCCTGGTCTGCTTTGTCTATAATTGCCAGTTCCGTTTCAGATAAAGCTTGGGCGGAATAGTCATGGGCGGCCTCATCATAAGCGGCAAGTTGGTGCAGCTTTTCATTTAACTGAGTGAGCTCGCCAAGGATAGAACAAGAGCCAGAGGGTTCAATTTTGGCGCAGCGATCAGCCAACACCGAGAATTGGTTGCCCAGTTTGAGTTCCCCCTGCTTGGAAAGTGGGAATTTACTCATCGTGTGGTCGATCACCATCTTGATGACTTTTTTGGCTGATGAAACATCTTCAAAGGTTATGTCGAACATCTTCTTAAACATCTAGAGTTGATGCAGTACTTCTCGCATGTCTGTGGTTGGATTTGTTGGGATCGACATGCTCAGAGCGCAAGAGATGGAAACATTGTCTGGTACAAGTTTGGGAGGAGGCCAGGGCATGCATGAGCATGAAGGCAAGCAATAACCAAGGGTCCTCATTCAGCACCATGTACGTGTCCGTATAATGCAATCTAGATTATTTAAGATTTAATGCGAATAATTGAGATTTAAAATTTTTAACATGTAATTTTTTAATAATAAATTTATTTTTTAAAGAAATGTTAGTGATAAGATTATTTTTATTTTGAATTTTGTATCTATTAAAATAAAATATTATTTAAAGTATGTCAAAAGTTTAAATTCAATCTGAAGAATTCAAAATCAATATAATGACTTAGATTAAGATGATCACTCCATGTTTATTATTATTATGAGCATGAAATAAGCCCCAATAACCAAAGCTGCTAAAAAATAAATCAGTTTCAGTGCTCATAATAGCAGTGAAATCTAAATTATTCAAAATTAATTTTAATAGTCTAGATTTAATATTTTCAACTAATAAATTTTAAATAAAAATTTATTTTCTAAAAAACTTACAATTAAAAGATTACAGTTATTTTGAATTATACCTATAAAAAATATTTTTTAGAAATAAAAATATTAAATATAAATCACAGCCATTCATATTAAATTTAAATGTTGAGATTTAATAAGTATCATGCTATTTATCCTTATGCACTGAAAGTAGTGAGGCGGAATGTACAGCATTGGCGCTTCATAAAAGTAAACTCAATTAATTTAATCAAGAAACTTTTCAGTTTCACTGTATTCTTCTACGTCACTTGGAAAAACGAAAGAATATCTGTTCTGAATGTTGAAGAGAGGCTTTTAATTAGTGCACGGAAAGCATTGGGATCAAAAGAGTGATGATCACTCTTATTAATTTTTTTTTTTGGACCAGAATCACTCTTATTAATTTTAATAGTTTAGATTCTACACCAAAAAATAAGTGACTTTTTTTTTAACAGACTAAAGTATATTTTTAGTTCTTTGATTTTGAACAAGATTTTAATTTAGTTCTTAAATTTTAAAAAATGTATTTTTAGTTTTTTAATCCTAAAATTGTTAATAAAAATATCATATTGAGATCTTGAATATTGATAAAACATGATCTAATATCAATATATTAAGTTTAATTTTCAAAACAACTATTATTGTTACAAAAAAAAATTATCATTTAAGATAATTTTAAGATTAAAGAACTAAAAATATAATTTATAAAATCAAGAGATCAAATTGATACTTTGTATAAAAATAACGTCTGAAATACCTCTTTTATACCTTATGACATGAAATGATATAGTACTTTTCTTTTCTTTTCTTTTTATTTTTAACAAGAGAGGGCTTAAATTTTCACGAGTGAACATTCTTTCTTTCTTTATTTTCCCCCCCTCGTCTTCGGTGAAGCGTGATCCGTATATTTATGTGAAAAAGAGGGGGAAAATTCTACAAGAAGAAAATAATCAATCGAAAAATGGAACCTTCTTATGTGGACAATCTTATTCTCGAATCAGTTCTCTTTCTATTGCGCTTTTTTCTTTTTCGAAATATATCTTGCTTTAAAGAATACAATGGATATATATAAGCTTTTTTTATAAAAAAAATGTGAGAGGTCACATATTTACTTTCACTTCTAATTTAATAATGTTAATGCATGACTCTCCAAAGTAGGAAGAAAAAGGAATAAAGTGAAATCAAAGTAAGAGGAAAAAAAGGAAACTTACTTAAAAAATTTCTGGATGAGACAATATTTTGGGAGACGGACCATAAAGTAAGGAAATGATGCTGAAAAAAAAACAGGGAAGCGATTTGGTTGAAGAGTAAATTAAAGTAGCTGTCTAAGAATAAAGTGAAATTAAAGTAAAAGAGGGAAAAAAAAACAAGAAGCTGAAAAAGAGAGAGGGCAAAATTGGTGCCAAGCAATAGTAAAGAATCGTTAGTTTGCTTGGTAATGAAATTTGGTATTTTTGCTTTGAAATCTCTACAGGCTAAGTAACCAAGAATTCTCTTACAGTCTTACCAGAGGCTCATCATTCAAAGTTCAAGTTGAAAGAGACCGAATTCCTTTTTTGTAAACATGGGTCTCTTCTTTTGTACATTTTTTAGTTATTATGAGATTCTTTCTTCACTATAAATATATTAGTACTAAAGGGGGAGGTTACATTGGCTCAGAAAAGGAGAGAAATTTTATAAAAAAATAAAATGAGAAATTAGGGACATTAATTTGGTGAAAGTTTGGATTTAAGGTGGGCAAACATATATTGTTGACTTGAAAGTTTGATTTGATTGGTACATACTCTTGCTGCACACTGATATTTATTTACCATATAATATTTTTAATGAATTAATTAAAAGACATTTAAAATTTTTAATTATAGATTAAATTGAAAATGAATGTGAGGTGAAAATGAAATTTTAAGTAAAGTTAATGATAAAACTAAAACATTTTTTTTCCATGTATAATACTCATTTAAAGCATATCATTTTCTGATTACTACTGCATCTCTAAAATCACAACGTAACACTAAAGAAATTTTAGCAAAGTAATAATGAATTAAGAGTTTCATAGATATAATTTTAATATAATTTGGATTTTTTCAATAAAGAAGATACTATAAACTTTGATTAGATCTGATAATACTTAAATAAAACCTGTGGATAGTATCACATATTCACATCTTATACGTATGTAATATTGTAATGATAAAAAAAGGATAATATGGTTATCATTTTCTTTATTTAATACAATTTAGAGATACGCACACACACAAACACGTCAATGCCAAGTTTAAACTCAAGATCTCATCTAAGCATGGCGGGTAGCATTGTTACTGAGATAACTAACCGTTAACATCATGTAGTTATTATAAAAATAGTATAAAAAATTTTAAAATATAATTTTTTTCCCACCATAATCTCCTCAAAACTCAAAATAAATGCCTAATTTTTAGAAGAAAAGACAAATTCTGCTTCCTTTAATTACTCTCTACATACTTTCTTTCCCCATCATCAACTCTGTACATGCATACAAACACACATATATATTGGCCTTCTTTGCGTTATGAGATAGCTAGGATTGTGTGTTTCAGACCTGATCAGATTGTTTTGGCTTTGTGCGCGGCTCTTCTTTCATCTTCTTCACTGCTTCCTTTTCCTTCAACTCCCACGCCAAATCAATCAAATATATGAATTTTCTCATTCCCTAAATACTCCTCTGTTCTTCTCTGTTCTTCAATCGACCCTGTGTGGTTTATTTTCTTAATTCTTAAAAAAAAAAAGGGTTTCTTTTCTTGCTTCTCCTCTGCATTATACAAATTAAAGTCTTCTGCTATTGCTGTGTTTTGCTGGTGTCTCCGGCTTGGTTCATCAGAGACGAGAAGATCACTTTGGTGACAATCATATAGTGATAAGGGTAAATTCTTCCTCCTTGTTAGAAACTTTTTGCATTCACTGGAAATTTGCGTCACTCTGTCTTTTATTTCCCCTCCCCCTCTTCTTATTTCCTCTTTTGACTCTCAACAATAGAACTTTGTTAAGGAAAATTCAACCACGAATCTTGATTCTACGTTTTGTGTTCTCTGTTATTTATATGAATGATTGATGAAATGGATGATTTTCAAGTACTGTTTACTCCATTGAAACATAGTTGTAATTAAATATTTCACATAAGTATATTAAGTAATAATTAAAATTATTACTCTATTAAAAATATAATTAGTTTCATTTATTTTTTAGTCTTTTGTTTGGCATCTTACTCTTGTAGTCTTTAATTAATAATCAACGGGTCTAATTATATATAGCCTTATGTGCGCGCGCGCATGGATTATATATATTACATTAGGTAGTATATTATTTCATAGTTGATAATAATTTGCTTTATAAATAGAATGAAAGCGCTTCAAATTCTAGGATGCCAGAGTTTAAGATAGAATGAAATGAAGTCACTTCATTAGAAATAAAAATCATTATTTGGAAATTTTACAGGGGAAGTGGGAGTCTAATTTGATTATTTTTAGGAAAATTATTATGCGATATATTAATTCTCACTTGACTCTTACGCAAGAATTACTTTAAAACGTCATATTGGCTAAAAAGAAAATACTCCTCAAGTCCTTAATATAATACTCATTTAACTAATTTGATTAGATTAAGAAAGTTAGATAAATTAGTTAATTATAATAAATATGACACTTTTTTCCTAAAATATCAAAATTATCTTTTTTAATACCCCCTTCTTTTTCTACTTGATTATGGTTGAGGGAATATCTGTAGGAGTAATTTAAAAAAAATTGATAAATATGATAAATGAGTGTTATATTTATGACCAAAACTAACTCAATAATTAGGTCTTAATATTAAGGATCAGAGGAATACTATTATATGAAATTCATTATAACTTCTTCCTCAATATTAATATGAGGATCAAATCAAATGAATCAAATATTCACAATTTAAAGTGCAAATGTATACTTCAATAATTCTCTAGCTTTTTTTTTTTTTTAATTATTTGGTTTTGTAAGGGGGGTTATATTTCCATAGAAAACTTTCTGCAAAATGCAACTAAGGTGGGCGTAAATTGACCCTGATCGGTTTGAATCAGCTAAGCTGACTGAATGTGTCCCCCCCCCCCCCAACAAAAAAAAAGAAAAAGAGTGGAAAGAGGTGCGTATGTCTAGGGATATTCTTTTCATTGTAATGGTTAACTTCTTCTATATAACTTCGTCTCTCTGTGCTTATTACATTTCCCCTTTTCCATTTCCATTTTTTTCTCAGTTTTTCATTATCAATGACCCAAAGACTTTCCTCCATCAAAGAGCATACTGGGAAAAGAGAAACAAAAGAAAGAACAACAAGTGCAAATACTGTTGTGTTCCCTCGTGTGAAAACCCTAATTCTGGACGAGTTGCCAAAATTTACTGGATCGTCCTCCAGCAGGGATGGTTTTCGTGGTGTTAAATGGCTTGAGTTGGATACGGTGGAAGTTTCTTCCTGTCCCAACATTGGCGAGTCAATGTTGGGAAAGGTGGACAGATCTCTTTTGAAGAAAGTCACTGTGAAAAACTGCCGGCCATGGGCAGGTGAAGATCTCGAGAGCAACATCGGTTATCTCTCTGAGTTAACTGTAAGTACTCTCTTCCTTAGTTATTCTTCTCACATCATGTGAATGCAAATGAAAATATAACGAAGCTTAAGGATCGAATTTGATTTTTATATAAGAGAAGAGTTTTTAAGAATATAACCCCCACACACACAACACACAGGAACAAAGGTTTTCAATACTGTTCGTCACTTAATACTGCTGATTCTGGTATCATTATTTTACAGGATGAAATCTCCAAAATTGAAAATTTAAGGATCGATGACTCGAAGGAGTTGCAGAAATATATGAGAATGGAGCTTCATGAATCATCTTTCAGGCAACTGAAAACTGTAGAGGCCTTCCATTGCGGCAATGAGTTGAACGAGTTTTTGTCCATTTTGCTTCGCCGGTCCAGTAAGCTTGAGCGCCTGACAGTGGAATCGTGCGACCTGCTGGAACAGGTTTTCCATCTCACAGGAATTGTTGCTGAAGAAGGAAATCTGAAATTCCCCAATTTGAAGACAATGAGATTGTGTTCGTTACGCAATTTGAAGTGCATATGGAACAAGGATCCAAGGAGGATTGTGGAACTCGGCAAACTAGTTAAATTAGAGATAATCGATTGTGGGTTACGCCAGGGTCCACTTTCGATTGCTTTACTGGAAAAACTTGTTCTTCTGGAGGAATTGAAGATAGAGTCATGTAAGATGCTGGAACAAGTCGTAGAGGACAACGAGGAAATGCAGGAGAGATCATTTCATGGTTTAAAGGATCTTTATCTTGCAGACCTCCCAGAGTTGATCAAGTTCAGCTCAAGGAACTGCAATGTCGGATTTCCTAATCTACTGAGATTGACGATAAAAAAGTGTCCAAAATTGATTGAATTTACTGCCGGGCTTTTAAGCAACCAGAAAGGGACATCTGGTGGCGTGCCGCAGAAAGAGATGATGGTATGTACAATAATAAATTTTGTTCAGTCCTCTAATTTGAACATCCTCACAAAGTTAAGTATTCATGAGGCATTACAATTTATTAGTGTGAAATTTCTGTGGCTCAAATAATATCTTGAAGCTCTTTTCTGCAGCACGCATGCCCTAAATTGGAGAGGTTGATCCTGGAAGGCCTAGAATTGTTGAGCGTGGAAGTGGTTTCCTTGAGCAAATTGAGTTATATGAGGATTGCGGGGTCAAACAAGTTGAACAGACTGGTTGTAAGGAATTGCAGTTCTCTTCGAAGCCTGGAACTGCCCACAAAATGTTTGAATCTGAAAGAGATTGAAATTTCTGACTGTAACATTTTGGAAGAGATTGCCACTGACCGTGTAGAAGGAGGAAAAACGGACCAGGAAACTTCCGGTCATTTAGAATCTATTGTTCTTGAAAATCTACCAAAGCTCTCATTCTTGTCCTCGGAGACCTGTGAATTTCCATCACTCAAAAAACTGAGAATAATTAACTGTCCTGAGGTTGGGAAGAAATTGTTATCAGGGAACGTCTCTGCTAAAGCAGCGGACCACTCGTCGGACAAGGTAGTAAATGTGTTCTTCAAAGATATTATTTCATGTGATCTCTTCATCGTACGTTGTGATGTTGATCACCCCAACGTTTAAATATGCAGTGTTAAATTTATGACTTAAATATATATATTCTGTTGCAGAGGAGTTTAGCACGTGTGTTATTTGATGACATAGAGGAGGAATCCCTTCATGGTGAGGGCAAAATGAAAATACCTCCTGAGTTAGAATTACTGGAGTTGGCTGATTTACCCAAAATGCAGCTGTGGAAGCAGGAACCTGAGTTTCCAGTGTTTCGAAATCTGGCCGACCTTAAAATCATGCGTTGTGGAATCATGGAAAAATTATTTTCCATTCCGGTGGCCGAACACCTCTCACGTCTGAGATTGCTATCATTATATGAATGTGAAAATATGGTTCGAGTTCTTGAAGGACGTGGAGAAGGAAAGAGTAAACAAGTAGTAAAGTTCCCAAAGTTGGAGACACTTGTGCTTAAACACCTGCCAAGACTCACCAGTTTCTGTGAAGAAGCTGTTAATTCTTTTGAATTCCCAGAGTTAAAGATGGTTAGAGTAGAGAAAGTTCCAAACATGAACACATTTGTGAAGCAACCTCTCAGAACTCCAAAATTGAAACAAGTTTATGTGACACATATTAAGAAATGCTGGCTACAAGACCTGAACGAGACAATAACACACTTGCGCGAAAATCATGGTACTTACATCATTAAAATATTCTAATGTCATCATTTTAGTTCTGGTTGATTTATCATAGTAATATAGTATAATTCATATCGCAGTGAATTATGATTCTTTTTCTGCATGGTTTTTTCTGATAGATAAACTTAAAAGGGAGGTTTGGAAAACTGGCATTGCCAGACTAACTGAAACCGACAGCCTCAAACGTTATGCAGACGAAGCTGAAAAAAGCTCGTCACAGGTACGCCGCTGAACTTTTATCTCTTAAAAAAGCATTTTCTGAGCTATAAAAATGCTCTGTGCGATTAAATATGGTTTACATATTTCATCTTAAATGGAACGTGTTATTCAACTTTAAAGGAAAATTAATTGAGTCAAAAGCTACTTTTAAAAACGCTTCTAGCTTAAAAATAGTGATATATGACTTGTGAGATTATATATCATAATAGACGTGAAAAAATTTAAATTTCTTTAAATTAAATCAAGGTGTTAGATTTGAAATATATCTTTTGTTTGCTTGATCGGCTTTTACTGTCTTACTCATTACTGGGAAATGAAAAGGGCAAGTTCGAGATTAAGGAAGCAGCAGCAGAGATGGAATTGCATGAAGGCATGCACAGGAAATCATATGAAGAAAACAAAAAAAGAGATCGAAGAAGAACGATGAATATGTGTGTGGCGGTAATTGCTGTGTGTGTGTGAGGGAATCAACATTCTTAATTAGAGAGTATGTATGTTTTACCGGTCTCCTTCTACTATGGCAATACGTGCTTGGTATGATGTTGAAAGAATAATGAAGGAATAGAAAGAGAGACATCGAAATGGGAATAGCTAGGAATATGAATAATATAATATTACCTGAAACCTTTTTATATGGTACGTTTGAAATAAAATTCATCCTCAATTTTTTTTAATTAAAAAATCGTCTTTTGATAGAATCAATAGAGGTTGGATTTAGTAATAAGATGACAAACCAATATTTAACTTTTAAAGAGATATTCACATTTAGTGCACGATGTTATTTCGAACATCGAACAGAATTGCTTTGTTAGTGAAATTACCCTACTTAGTAAAGAAAAATTGTATCAAACTTTAAATAAGGGAAACCTTGCAAAAATGTAATTACTATCATACTCAGTGACCTATAATTAAAGACTACTCTTTTTTTTAAAAAGTGCCCTCAATTAAATATCAAAGCGGTGTATATAGTTTTTTTAGAAAAATAAAAAATATGTTCTCACATAACATAATTAGCATTTGATTTTGAAAAAGCATGAAGGATTAGGACGTGATGGTACCACACCTACAAGATCCAGAATTTTCTGGCAAGAAAACAAGCTAAACCAATTTTTAACATAGATCGATCTATAGTACCATTCATTCCCTTTCTTTCATGGAACTAGAAATTAAAGTCTCCTGTTTTTATACATATTGGGTGACCTTATAGAAATTAGTTTATTATTGATAACAATTATGAAAATATTGCTGCCACAGAAACGAGGTAATTAGATGTAAAGGGAGAAATGCCCGATGTGCATTACCTAAACCAATCATGAAAATATGTTCTGCAATAAAAGCAAAATAATTAGGAAAAAAAACTTCTTTGGACCTAGAGGCAAAGAGAACTCAACAAATTAAAAAAGAAAACGTCTTATAATTAAATAAAGAAATGACATGATATGAAGCAGCTGTCAGTCAGCCAAGTAACTTTCCCAGTAAAAGGAAAGAATGAAATCCTGGCCGGCCGCGTATTGCTTAAAAATATTACAAATCATAACAATACGTTCTGCAATAGGACAAAGTAGTTTTTTCAAAAAAAGAAATCCAGAAACTATTTATTCTTATGGATCTCACCGAATGTTAAATTTTTCCATAGTTAGTTGTAAATTTTTGTAGTGTGAATGCTGAGGACTTCGATTTGATATTTAAGAATAAGTAGTTTTATATAATTATTTAATGTAAGCTGAATACAATTACTCACAACTTACACTTCCACTATTTACCCAAGAATAACACTTTAGTCTTCATACATATTCAGGATCCTTGAGGATAAAGAATAACATGAGTTTGGTTATCACGTATAATTTAATATTTTCTCATCATGTAAAAATAGAAAAAAAAATCATTAATCAATACTTTGATAAAATGAAAATAACAATCTATCTGGTAATTTTCAACTGATCATCATCATAAATTATCCTGTCGCTAAATTAAAAAAGAAAACAACCAAATCAGCACAAACAATTATATATAAATGGATCACCCTCTCCTCTCAATTTAACCGACCAAACCAGCACAAACCATTATATATATATGTATATATTTATATAGACATGGATCACCCTCTCCTCTCAATTTAACTGTGGGAGTAACCCGCTATGAGTTTGACCCTCGCGTCGCCATCCTTGATTTGAAACTGAGTGCTGAGACCGAGTTGAGCCATTAAGAGCCAAACAAAGGAAATGAGCTCGCCACCTTTACTCAATAACTGGACGTGTCCCGTAGGCCTGCAGTGGCACGCGGCATACGACAGCAATTCCACCCACACACTGGCTATGATTTCCCATTTCTTGTTATTTTCTAATTTGTTCAACTCTTTGGCCAAACGACATGCGTCAAACAATAGGGATTTGCTCCTATCCCCCTTCACATCAATGGGTTTTTGTTCTGTTGGCACTTTCATTAGAATGTCGCAAGCTTCCTTCAGCATATCCTCCCCACCATCCCCTTCTGCTGGAATGCTCCTCCTCTTGAAGAACCTTTTGGCCTCTTCACATGTGTCTTGGAACCTCTTTTGTCCCATTCCTGCTATGGCGGACATCATGTTGGGCTGCATAACCAGAAGGTATAGCATGTAATCTGAGACAAGCATGCTGATTTGTCTATTGCGTCGATCCTCCCCTTTATTATCAGCGTCTTTAGTGGAACAGAGAGTAGTAGCAATGTGCCACAATAGAAGGCTTTGATCAAAAGCAACTTCGTTGGGATCCACAAATGGCTTCAGGGTTTCTGAGTTGCTGGCCTTCTGGACAACCTGCTCTCCTCTAGCAGAACATATTCTTTGGATGGCCTCTATATTTTGATCACCAGTTGACTTCTCTTTGAGCTTTCGAACAAGTATTCCCAAAGCTCTTTCACGAACGGGTTTTTGGATTCATACCTCCATTGATCAAGGAGGTCTTTAATATTAGAACGTCTGTCCCGTTGATAGAATAAATCCTGTACATACACCCAGATTTTGAGGCATAGATTATCAGGATCCCTCTGAACTGACTCATTCACGCAGTAACTCAGCAGATTGTACCCGGTGATTGATCCAGACCACCTGCGCATTAAAAAGTTGCTGAACAATCTGTGACAGCCTTGGTAAGGGCCTTTCCGGATTTGTGGCCAAGTCAGATTCCCCAGCTTGAGGAACCACGACAAAACTATTCTATTGAGAGGCTTGAAGATTCTGATTCGGAATTTTTGGTAAGGAGAAGCTACGTAGGAATCTATTAGGGATTCATCGGAGAGGGTAGCAGTGTAATCAGTGAACAAACGCTTGAAAAGAGCCATGACATCCAGGAACAGAGCGCCAAACAGCAACGCATAAGTCACCCTAACATCCAACTTGTCGAAACCATGCCTGTCTGCCATAATGAAGAGTACGAGGGTGGCCGTAATGGACATTAAGGAAACGAATTTTCCCCAGAACCAGAACCAATATTGGCGAATCACCGAGGCCTTCGTGTAGAAAACTTCATACATGAAATTGAGCTCAACTTCTATGAGCATGAGAGCCTCTCCTGCCGATTTGTTTTCAAAATATCTCCGGCTGTCGTGCCGGTCTTTGATGCTGTATATCATGTCAACGACGAGACCTTGAAACTTGAGGAAGAAGGAGAAAGCTTTCTGCACCAACTCAAGTTCGTAAATATCCTTCTCCACGAGCCCCTTTCCATCGTTGGATGCCGCACTGTAATAATTATAAAGGATAACATTTGTTAGTCTGCTACTTATTTAGTGGAGCTTTAATAAGTGATGTTAACTCAGTAATACAAGTCAGTTTTACCCTTCATTTTTCTCTCCCTCTGTTTCTTGATTTCTTCTCCCATCTTTTCCCGTCTCACCAGTCTCCGGAATCATGATTATTTCGGCTGGAAGCTCGGCCGCCACCCTAGAAGAGTGCTCCTCCATGAGCTTCGCATAATTGGCCCCCGCATCCGGCTCTGGAAGCAAGGACTTCCTGAAATTATTGATGGCCGCGATGTACAGAGCGTGAGTTCTCTCAGCGTACTTGATTAATCCGGCAACAAACATCAATATCGTCGGCAACCATAATGGGTTCCGAGGGACCGTCAGAAGGAAGACATAAGCAGTTGTGACTGACTGGAGAACGAGGCCGAGAAGGTGCCTGAGCCAGAGCTCATTGTCCTCCAGAGAAACGCAGAGATGGTGTCAGGGCCACCCAGGTGTAGGAGAAGGAAAGGACCCCAAAATGCCATGAGGTAATCGTTTTGTGTGAGGGTGGCTTTTTGCTCTTGATTGTTGGAGATGAGTCCAATGCAGTAGCCAGCTGCCCAGTCGGCGAGAAGATAAGCCAACCAGACAAAGAATATGAAGAAGCCTCCTCTGATGCGTTTTCTGTAGGGAGCAGAAACGATGAGGAAGATCTGAAGGAAGAGACCGAAGAGGATAATTATGCGATGTTCCGCTGGTCCCATATCAGTTTCTGAGATTGTGAGATGGAAGAAAGCATGTTTGAGCCTCACAAAATACCAAGTTATAACCTTGGGCATGCCTAGTGTGTGTGTGTGTGATTTCTATATATTGTGGTTGGTGGAAATTTTGTTACAGATTTGGGAATCTCCATCCCCATATTTAGGAAGCCATCATTTAAAAACAGTACATGCGGCCCCATGCATGCCTGCTTTAATTTTTCTTTTCTTTAATTTTTTCCTTTTCTTTAATTTATTCTCTCTCTTTTTTTAATGTTTAAAAAAGTTTGGCATCTCGCCGGCAACAGCCACGCGATACACATATCATTTATTTTTAAATGTAATGCGATATCAAAATATACAACCTCCTTCTTCTATTAAAATCATTAAAAATCTTGAACAACATTAACTAACCTTAAAATTTAGTACTCCTTTCCTCTTATTTATAAGGTAGAGAGGAAAAATTTTTCTTAATGTATTTATAAGTCACCTTATTAAATTTTTAGTATAAATGTAATATTTTGTCATTTACTTATTATAGTGTACATGATTATTCTTTTTAGAAGTGTGAACAATAAATATAGGCAAATTGAAAAAGTTGTTGTATCTTAAAGAAGAGTTATACAGTTTAAAATTTTCTTAGTCCGTATAAAATAAATAGGACCAAAAGAGTAACTCTCTAATGTCACTTACTAATTTCACCCCATTTAATATTAGATTACACCTCATAAAAACAAAGTCTACATAGTACTCCCTCCAATCCTTTTTATAAAATCCCAAAATTTTAATTGATTTGCTCTATTTTATAAAATGCTACTTGGGGTTGTCTAAATGTTAAATACATTTTTATCATTTTTATTCCGAATTAATTTTCTATTTTCTTTGCTTATCTTTTTCGCATGCTGCATACTCTTTCTTCCTTTATCTCATTATAAATATTTCTTTCTTTTACTTGCTTTCTTTTAAAATCAGGACATACTTAAAACAAATTTTAATTCTTATATATTTATTATTTTTGGATAATCTTAACTGTTTTTTCAAAGCATATAATTTAGTTAAAAAATCTTATAAAAAGAATCAGTGGGAATAATACATGATGAATAAATTTGTATGAAAATTTTAATAATATGACTTATAAATATGATAAAAAAAATTATTTTCCATCTATTTTAGAAATGGCAATAGAGGAGTACGGTACGTACATTTCTATTTTTTTTTTTTTTTGAGCTCAGTGTGTAGCAGTAACTAATCTCTTCACGTTGTAGATTTTTTGAAGAGTTTTAGTGCTGATTACGAGATCCTCTGCATACACACATATATTCTCTTATATACATGTGTGTGTGTGTGAAAATACATACTAATTTTTTTGAGGGAAAGACTTAGTAGCTAACTTTATATACTTTTACACCCTTTTCAATCACATCAAAACAAGTGGCCAGATTTTAAAATAATAGTGATATTAATAAAAATTTTGTTATGAAATAAATAATTTATGAAAAACTCACATATCTCGATTGATAGGAAATAAGAAACTTGAGTATATATTTCTCTTTGATTTAAATATATATATATATATATATCCACACACCTCAGGTTTTAATTTTGTCAAATTTTAGGAACATAATGATTTTTTAACATTTATAGTTTTTATAATTGTTGACTAAATATTTGTGTTTGAGATGCAGTAAACATCAAGTTTTTTTTTTTTTTTTTCCATAACTTCGTATTCTTTTTGAATTTTTTTCTTTAGGTACATTTATCTTTTTCATTAATTTCGTAATCATCATATATAGTAGTACAGAGAGAAGCAGACCAATGTTTCTCACAGATGAATTTGGTATTATTTTATTCTTTTAACCCATAGTTGTAAAACATCAAGTTTATAAAATCTTTCGGCTGTACATTCATCTTTTACCTCAATTCTTTGCTTTTATTCAAAAAAGGAGAGAGAACCTCTCAAAGTTTATAAACTGTTTTGGTTATACTATCATGTGTCTCAACCTATTTAAACATACATGGCACAAAAGAGGAAGAAGATTTGATGTAAATATGCGACTGAACATATTTTTAATTAACCTTCTGAATTGTGAAAATCAAAAGACTTCATAAGCAACACCCAATACAACAAGATGAAAAGGCAAACACAAAATCAACCAGAAACAGAGGAGAGCATCATCTCTTGTATGATCTTGGTTGGGAAAATGATAATATTAAGTCCCAAACAATTATCTGCCACAAATATTCTTTTATTTCATATACAACTTGGAAGTGGAAATTTTTTTTGAAACTCAATGGCCTCGTCCTTGTTTAAGGCCACTCAAACTCAACTTTCTCTTGCTCACCTCTTTTGGTGACCCAATTAACCTTCTTCACGTATTGGAGCGAAGGAAACATTGCCTTGCGAGTTTCTTCGTTACTTATTGTGCTCATGTTGGTATACTTGAGGACCAAATATTTCACATTATCCCACTTCTCGCCCTTATTATATGATAAATCACTGAGCTTTCCTCCCTTAATGTATAGCGTCTCCAGATTCATCAGTTTGCTGGGCGTTAACCATCCTGGCATCTTCTTGTCAGGAATGCCTTCAAGATCCAGTTTTTGTAGCTTCGGAGCGGAAAAGACACAGACTGTAAAGAGGTTGCTCTGCCCCAAGATATTTTCAGACACTTGACTTTTGGCAAATCCTTCAAGTTGTCGAAATCAACTTTCTTGATGGTAGCCTCACTCCCTCTATGTATGCGTAATCGCTTCAGAGTCCTCAGATTTGGAAGATGCTCTAATCTAATGAGAGTCTTCTGAGAATTGCCTATTATGAATCCCTTGAGCACTTGGAGAGAAGTGAGGCTGTGGAGCCCCATTGGCAAGCTTTCCATCAAGTAACATTCTGATATATCCAAATGTGTGAGCTTTTTCAAGGATGCAACTGCATCGGTCAAGTTTTCTAGATTATGGCAAGCCTTGAGGTCTAGAATTTCGAGGCTGACCAGTTCTCTGATGGACTCAGGAAGTGAAGTTATTCTTGAAACCCCACGGAGGCTGAGATACTTGAGCAATTTCTGGGTCTTCAAACCTCTGATTAGGAACAATTCATCTTGAACTTCAATGTGATGGGTAGGAGAAACCTACCAACGACCAAGCTGAAGCACCACCAGTCTCTTCAGTTTAGCAAGCCATTGGTCTGGAAAATCAAGATCTCTCTCGTTCACATTAAAAATCGTCCTCAAAGTCTCTGGCGGTGTGGATTCTCTTTCAATTCCCAAATCAGAGTGACCAGCGATCAAACAAGCACGCCGGGATTGGGCAAGATCAAAATGTGGTATCTTTTCCTTTATGTCCAAAAGCCTCTCTTTCTTGGCCAGTGTGATCAACATGCAACAGAACCAAGGGGAAATTTGACATTTACTCACTCTCGGACGCTTTCCATGGGGTATGAGTAATTCTAAATCTAGAAGCTCTTCGAATACTCTTTCGCCATCTTCCTCATGGGGGACCAACCCTTCCCCAATCCACCAATAAATAAGAAATCTTTTTCTCAGGACAGCATTTCCAGGGAAAATTGCCAGAAACAAGCAAATTCTTGGGTGACGCTTAAGTTCATCCTGTCCAAAGAAAAATTCGTAGCTCGCCCGAAGACGTTTCACGAGCTGATCCTCTTCCGAGTTGTCTATAATATCCAGTTCCGTTTCAGATAAAGCTTGGAAATCATGCTGATTGGCCTCACCGGCATGTTGGCCCAGAATTTTGTTTACGTGAACAAGCTCCTCACGGATAGAACGGAAATGAGAGGGTTCAGTAGTTTTGCTGAGGTGATGATACAACTTCGAGAATTCGGGGCGCAGTTCCTGTTCTGACTTTGCGTCTGGTTGGAACTGATTCTTAAAATACTGGTCGATCGTCTTCTTGACATCTTTGGCTAATGAAATATCTTCAGAGGTTTCGTCGAAGGTCTTCTTGAGTTTACTCAGCAGTCGGGGCAGATCCGTCGTTGGATCTGTTTTTGATGCGCTCGACATGTTCAGAGCGTAAGAGATGGAAACGTTATCTGTGGGATAAGGGCATGAGCATCTGAGCATGAAGATAACCTGACTCCGATCCACCCCCCTCGCAGGAACGCTGACTTTATATTAAATTTTATTAAAACATTTCAGTGCTTGGACACTTCCCTACACTACCTGGCAATTTCTCGGTTGATATAATTTTATTAATGCCTTTTTAATCTTGTAATGCTATATGAAATATGAGTATTGAATTTAGACTTTTTCATCTAAAGAAATTTAAATTATTGTTTTCAATAATTTTGCTTTGTACAAGATAAATACACGATGATTTAAAAGAGTTTAATTTGCGTCATTTTTGAAAGTATAATTCCCAAACGCTCCAACTGGAATAGAAAAGATTAAAAAAAAAAAAAGATGAGAAGTGACAAGCACGATTTGAATTTATACCTAACTGGTGGGAGAGGAAATCATGTGTAATATTCTAATGCCACTGGAAAGCATATGGAAAACCTTTTTTTTCCCCCTCTTTTTGTTTCTTTTTCTAATTTGGTTGGATTGATAAGAATATCCAATATATTTGTATTATTTTTAATTCTTGTTTAAAATTTTATTTTTATATCATTCATTATCATATGTTAATCGACCTCAATTAAACGATCAAAAACAGCATTGGTTCTTTTTTTTGGGGTTCAAATTAGACATATTTCCATGTATATATCAACCGAAGTTTCATGTTTACAAATTTTTAAATAATGCAATATATGGACAAAATTTAGGTCAATTTGCTTATATACAATAGGTTAAATTTATAGGTGCACATTTTAGTTAGTAATAGTAAAAATAGAAGTGTCCATATTTTATTGGCGAATTTATAAGTGCATATACATAGTTTAGCTAATATAACCATGTCAAAATAACAAGCTTATTGATTAGAGAAATTAACCTGATCTTGAACTAGGCTTTATCTCCTAACAAAAACTATTTGATATGAAATGGGATGGATGGGGCCAACTTTAATTTGGGTAAGAGAATATTATCAACGTAATTCTTTCTTTTCCCTGTCGGTTTATTTCATAGCTCCACATAGGAGCTTCATCTTCCTCCCACAAGTACTGGAAACTACCCAGCTCTGTACTTGTGATTCCTGTCATCATGATGGCATCATCCGACGTCGCCAGATTTCTGATAAAACAATACTTACAATCTATCGACAAAGAGACTTCACACATATCAGATCCTACCTTGGACAAGTTTAAAGCCATCGGTGATCGGTTGAAGATAAAAATGTTAATGGAGCCTGATGACCTTATGAATTGATGGCTTTCCGATCTTAACGACACCCTCACACGGTGGCAGATTCTCAAGGAGCAGGACAAGTCTATCAAGAGGATTTTCTCCTGCCATGATCATATGGCTCGCATAAGAGAGCGCTCAGCCATCGATGCTAAACTCAGCTGGATTCTCGAACGATTACCTCCGGTGGATCCTTCAAACTCGACCAAATCATCAAGCCTGCACACGAATTTTCTGCTGTCTGATCAGTGTCCATCCCGCAAATTCGATCGAATTACTACTTTACCTGAGGTCCAAGAGCGTTCCGACGAACTCGGAAAACAAATGGTTGATTGGCTCTCGACGCCCGGTGGTGATGACTTCAAGGCCGTCGGGATTTGTGGGATGGGTGGTTCGGGCAAGACAGCGCTTGTTAAAAGCGTTTTGGCACAAAAAGCTGGCGCCGACAAATTCGAGGTCATCTTCCGGGCTGATTTATCGGATCTTATGACGTACGAAGAAGAAGAAGAGATCATAGATGTCAGGATTATCAAACACTTGCTGTATTGTTTGGGCTTAGATACCGATAGCATGGCGGGCAATTTCGACGGGAATAAGCATAGGCTCATGGAAGAACTGGAACGTCTGTTACTGACGATCTCAAGGAACTACATTTTGGTGTTGGATGACATGTGGCACTGTACCAAATGGTTCGCTCATAATTTGTTAGGCAAATTGAAGAAACATGGAGGTGGTGCTGTCATTGTAACCAGCCGAAGAAAATCCGTGGCCCAAAAATTCGGTTCAAACAATAGATTAATACATCTAAATCCTTTCGATTACAGGGAAAGCGCATTGCTTCCATATATTAGACTACAACTCCCAAGCCGTCCACCAGCCATCCCATTGTCGATCAATCTGATGGATTATTGATGGCCACTTAGATTTTATATATCTTCTTCCCTTTTCTTACTTAGTCTGAAATGACTTTGTTCTTAAGTTCAAAAAAGATAGCAATTCGTCGTATGCGTGAGTCTTCGACTCTTGTAACTCAATTATGTGTGCTTTAATGCATTTTTATTCAACCGTTAATTTTTCTTCATAGTTATATATCAATAATTTTGCTATCCTTTTTCAATTATAATCATTCAAAACCTTTGTTATTGTAACCGAAGCTGCTAAAAAGGAGATAGAATGCTCAGCATTGACCTAATAAGTACTTACCATATATGTATTGAGTTTAATAATTCCGGGGTGATTCGTGATCGATAAAATTAAACTCAATTAATTTAATCAAGAAACTTTTCAGTTTCATTATATTATTCTTCTAAATTATGAATAATGCAACTTGATTTGTTGATAAACATTAGCTAGGTGCGATATTATGATTCATGTTGCATGAATTGATCTAAAATGTCATGCAGTAAGCATATACGATGGGGATTTTCCGATGTGGCTGCGCTTCCTGCCTTGGAAATTAGAACAAAATAATACTCATTTAGTCCTTAATATAAGACATATTTAACTAATTTGACTGGGTTAAGAAAGTTAGGTAAGTTAATTATAATAAATATGACATGTTTTTCCTAAAACACCATAATCATCTTTCTTAATATCCTCCATCTTCTACTTGATTATGGTTGAGAAAGTATCCATAAAGATAATTTCAAAGAAAAAGGTAAATATAAAAAATAAGTCTTATATTTATAACAAGAATCAACTCAACAATTAAATTTTATATTAATAGTAAGAGAAGTATATGTTTTGAATGTTAAAGAGAGGCTTATGATAAGTACACGAAAAGCATCGGGATGTACCAAGAGAGTGATGATCACTCTTATGAGTTTTAATAATTTAGATTCCACATTGAAAAGAAACGAGTGACTTCTATCATATCTCATGATGATGAAATAATATAGTTTTAAATTTTAATTTGACGAGTGAATATTTTTCGCCCTCATCTTCAGTGACCCAATTGAGTCTGTGAATCAATCGTCTTCTTCCTTAAGCCTTTATTATCATGTTATGCACAAAACATATATAAAGGAAATTTTTTAAAAGAAACAAAAGGAAAAGACATAGCTACCCTCATGCATTGTACGGCATTTTGGGAGGAATCATGGAATGGTCACGCAAGGAAATGATGCCGAATAAAGGAACATGATCTGGCTCAAGAGTAAACATATAATATGATGTTAAAGAATAACGTGAAAAGCAATGACCTTATGATGCAGTAACACATAAGTTTTCTTTTGTTTTTTTTTGTTTTTTGGAATAAGTGAGAGGTTGCTGATTCAATCACACTTATAATTTCATGCTCTTAATGCATGACTCTCCAAGCTAGGAAGGAAAAAAGAATAAAGTGAAAAGTAAAACCAAAAAAACGGAAAATTATTAAAAAAGAAATGCCTGCAGGAGACAATATTTAGAGAGAAAACGGACCATAAAGTAAGGAAATGATGCTGGAAAAAGCAAAAAGGGGAAGCTGAAGAGTAATTTAAAGTAGTTGTTTAAGAATAAAGTGAAAGTAAAAGAAGAGGGCAAAATTGAAGCCAAGCAATAGTAAAGAATCGTTAGTTGCTTCGTGGGAAGCAATTTTGGTACTTTTCCTTTGAGACCTCTACACGCTAAGTAACCAACAATACTCTTACAATCTTACTAGAGGCTCATCATTCAGCCTTCAACTTGAAAGACACCAAATTCTTTTTTTGTACATTTTTTTAGTGAAGAAATTCTTTCTTCACTATACATATAAAGAGAGGGGCAAATTGGCTAAGAAAAGGAGAGAAGTTAAGAAAATAGGTATTTAATTAATTATAAAACTAAAACAATATATCTTTTTCATGCATAATATTCCTTTAAGGGTATTATTTTCTAATTACTATTGCATCAATACTATAAGAAATTTTAGCAAAGTAATATAGCAAAATTAAGAGTTTCACAGATATAATTTCAATAAAATTATAAGTCATTTATAACACATCCTCGCATATTAATAAATATATTAAATTGATAATTTTTAAAATTTGCCCTTATTAAAGTTCTCTCTTTCTCTATATTTACAAAACATTCTCATATCTCTCCTTCTTTCTTTCTTTTTAATGAGAATTAAATAAGATAAAATTAATAAAACATGCATTGATGGCCACTTAGATTTTATATATCTTCTTCCTTTTTCTGACTTAGTCTGAAATGACATTGTTCTTAAGTTCAAAAAAGATAGCAATTCGTCGTATGCCTGTGTCTTCGACTCTTGTAACTCAATTATGTGTGATTTAATGCATTTTTATGTAACTGTTATTTTTTTCATAGTTATATATGAATAATTTTGTTATCCTTTTTCAATTATACTCATTCAAAACCTTTGTTATTGCAACCGAAGCTGCTAAAAAGGAGATAGAATGTTCAGCATTGACGATAATAAGTACTTACCATATGTGTATTGAGTTTAATAATTCCCGGGGTGATTCGTGATTGATAAAATTAAACTCAATTAATTTAATCAAGAAACTTTTCAGTTTCATTATATTATTCTTCTAAATTATGAATAATGCAACTTGATTTGTTGATAAACATTAGCTATGTACGATATTATGATGGATTTTGCATGAATTGATTTAAAATATCATGCGCCAAGCATATAGGAGTTTAAAACCTCATGCGTAGCATAATTGGGCCCCCCATGCATGGCTGCTTTTCTTTTTCTTTTCTTTAATTTATTCTTTTCCCTGTTTTGGATGTTTAAACTTTAAATCAAGTCTGGCATCTTGCAGGCTGCAGCCACGCTGTACACTTCTTTCCAACAAGTATGTCATTTTTAAATCAAGTATGTCATTTTTTTTTCCGGTAACTTAAAGCAGGCTAGGAATAGTGTTAAGATCAGAGTCTTTCCAACAAGTATACTTCTTAATATTTAAATTTGTGTTTTTTTTTTTACGAGAAGAATACCGCTTATCCTCAACTAACAACTTATTAATACACATATATATCATTTATTCTTAAATGTAATTGTAATGTGAAAATACTATTTCCCCTCCTTTTTATAAGTTTTAAATATAACTGAATTACATAATTTAAAAAAATAATTAAAGATAATAAATATTAAAAAATATAACTTATTTTTCCAAAACATCTTTATTTATGAAGATTATGAGCGGAAGAGAAAATGGGTGAAAAAATAAAAATAATTAGAGGTAAAAATAAAAACAAACACATTAAATGTTCTGATATTTCAAAGTGTATGCAGCTCATAAAAATGACCCAATTCATTCAAAAAGTTGAAGCTTATATCACCAAAAAAAGAAAGAAAGAAAGTGAAGCTTAGAAAAGGAGGGAAGGGAGGATTACATATATATATATATATATATATATTTATATATTATATATTCTAATATCTGCAAAAATATGTGTTTATTTAAGGGAAACACTTAGTAGTTAACTTTATATATACTTATGTACTCCAGTCAAATCGAAACAAGACTGGCCAGTTTTTAAAATATTAATGATATTAATGAAAGAATTTGTTATAAATAAATAATCCATAGAAAATTTACTTGTCTTGATTGATTGGATACAACCGAGAACCTTGAGTATATAATTTTTCTCTTTGATTTAAATATATATCCATAAAGTCTTAAATTTTAATTTTTAAAATTTAAGAAACAATTAATTTTTTAATGTTTATAATCTTTGTAATTGTTGACTCAATATCTGTGTTTCAGATATGGTAAAAAATTATATTATTTTCTCTTGCGTAATTTTATAAGCATGATATAGCAACAAAGAGTCAAATATTAAGTTGTCTGATTGTATTGCATAATAATATTGCACTTTTTGCTTATCAAAAAATAATATTATACTTTAATAAACCTAAACTAGTATTTATATTCAATTTAAATAATTTGAGTTTTTATTTTGTTTATATCCAGAGCGACATTTTCTTGCACTACAAAAAAAAAAACTTATTACCAGCAAAATTAGCAACAAAAAATTATTCTCTCACTAATTTCTGATGAATTATCAATGAAAATTTCATTGCTAAATTTAGCAAAATATTCCATCACTAATATTAGTGGCGGATTAGTAACAAAATTTTATTTTATCATTAAATTTTCATTACTAATCAGTCAAAAAATCTGTTAGCAATTTTTTAGCAACATAATTTTTCTATCGTTAATTTTTGTTACTAATTTTGCTGCTAAATTTTTTACCATGAAAATTTTTGTCACTAATTCTGTTGCTAAGTCTAATATGTTGTTAATTTTAAATTTTGTTGTTTTAAATTATAATCCTCCAACAATTTATATAATAACATCACTAAAAATGTAATGATTTAAATATATTTTTAATTGTAAAATAAATTGATATATTTGTAAAATTGATATTAATAGAGGTATCATTATCATTCATTTCGTCTTTGGATACATGCTCAAATAGAAAGACAATTTCTTAGAAAAATTGTTTTATATTTCATTAAAATCAATTCCTCTTGATTATTAGTAAAATATTAATAACTTTCTTATACAAATTAATATAACAATAAAATTTGATTATTACATAATTAATAACTCACTGATTTCGGTATTCAACGTAAAAACAACTTGTATATATAAACGTTTTTTAAAAAAAAAATGCAAGATTCACATATAAGTAAGAGAAAAATGTTTATCATAATTTATTCAAATCATTTAATTTTTTATATGGAAAATTTATTAGATTTTATTATAATAATTATTATAATTGGCTTACATATATATTCTTTTTGAATTTTTTTTTTAGTTATTTTTATTTTTTTCATTAATTGAAATTCTTTTCTTTCCATGTCGCCATTATGGGGAATCATTAGCTAAGCGATGGAATCGTAACGATTAATTTCGTAACCATCACATATACAGAGAGCAGCAGACCAATAATGTTTCCTCGAGATGAATCTGATGTTTTTCTTTTTTTTGGCTCAAAGTTGCACAGCATCAAGATTATAAATTCTTTCGGTTGTGCAGCCATGTTTTTATATCAATTCTATGTAATCACACACGGCACCTCAAGAGAGAAAAAAGATAAAGATTTGAATAAATGAACTTTCTGTCAGCGGCCTTCTGAATTGCGAGATTTCAGCAACAGCCAATACAACAAAATGAAAAGGCAAACAGCAAACAGCAAAATTAACCAGAAATAAGACAGGAACATATCATCCCTCGTCTTATTATTTCATAATTTGGCATTGGAAATGGTTTCGAAACTCACTGCCCAATATCCCTGCTCCATTCATCCTCCACGGATTGCTTACCATCTCTCCACTTCAGCCTCTTCACGTATTGGAGTAAAGGAAACTTTGACATGAGAGTTTCTTGATTAATTTGCGGCATACTGAGCACTAAATATCTCACATTCCACTGCTCGCCCTCGTAAGCTAATAAATCTCTGAGCTTTCCTCCCTTGATGTATAGCGTATCCAGATTCATCAGTTTGCTGGGCGTTAACCATTCTGGCTTACTGTTGTAAGGAATGCCTTCAAGATTCAGTTTTTGCAGCCCTGGCGGAAAAGACACAGACATTTTAACATTATCTGCTTTACCCCAAGATATTTTCAGACGCCGGAGCTGTCTCAAATGCTCCAAATAGTCGAATTCACCTTCCTGGATGGTCGCCTCACTCCCCACATGTATACTTAATCGTTTCAGATTCTTCAGACTTGGAAGATGCTGCAATCTAATGAGACTCTTCTGCGAACTGCCTATTATGAATCCCTTGAGTACTTGCAGCGAAGTGAGGTTGTGGAGCCCCTTTGGCAAGCTTTCCAGCAAGTAACATTCTGATACATCTACATGTGTGAGCTTTTCCAACGATATAACCGCATCAGGCAAGGTTTCTAGATTATGACAGCTCTTGAGGTCCAGAATTTCGAGGCTGGCCAGTTCTCTAATGGACTCAGGAAGTTTAGTAATTCTTGATATCCCACGCAGGCTGAGATACTTGAGAAGTTTTGGGTCTTCAAACCTGTTAGGAACGATTCATCTCGAACTTCAATGTGAGGTAGGTGGGAGAAGCCTGCCAACGGCCTAGCTGAAGCACCACCAATGTCTTGAGTTTAGCAAGCCATTGGTCTTGAAAATCAAGATCTCTCTCGTTCAAATTAAAAATGGTCCTCAGCTTCTCCGACGGCGTGGATTCTGTTTTAATTCCCAAATCAGAGGAGTGACCAGCGATCAAACAAGTCCGCCGGGAATGGGCAGGGTCAAAACGTGGAATCCCGCCCTCTAAGTTCAAAAGCTTCTCTTTCCTCGCCTCTGAGATCAACATGTAACGGATCCAACGGACAATTTTACATTTAGTCACTCTTGGGCACTTGTCAGTATGATAGGGTATAAGCAATTCAAGATCCAAAAGCTCTTCAAATACTCTTTCGCCTTCTTCCTCGTCCCGGACCAACCCTTCCCCAATCCACCAATAAATAAGAAACCTTTTCCTTAGAATAGCATTTCCTGGGAAAATTGCCAAAAAAAAGCAAATTCTCGGGTCGTGCTTTAGTTGTCGGAGGGAAAATTCATAACTCACCCGAAGACGTTTCAGGAGCGGATGCTTGTCTGCTTCGCGTATCATCCTCTGTTGGTCTTGAGATAAAGCTTGGAAATCGTCCTGATCGACCTTAGCATCAACTTTGGCCAGAAATTTGTTTATTTCAGCGATCTCATCACGGATATCACGGAAACGATGAGAGGGTGCAGTATTTTTGCAGAGGAGGAGGTCCTGCAGCTTCAAGAATCGGGGTCCCAGTTCCTGTTCGCACTGTTGGTCTAGTGGTAAACGATTCATCAAATGGTCGATTGTCTTCTTGACATCTTTGGCCGATGAAACATCCTCAGAGGTTTCTTCGAAGGTCTTCTTGAGTTGACCAAGCAGTTGTCGTGCGTGAACATCTTTCGTTGGGTTTGTTGGGAGCGACGACATGTTCAGGGTGTAAGATATGGAAACCTTCTCTGATACAAGGTTGGGGCCTGGGTATACGATTATGGACAGAGAAAGAAGATGATGAAACCCTGTTATTTTTTTCTGGGATAATTAACGTATAAGTACTTATAGTTTCAACTGGTTTTTAATTAAGTTCTTATAATTTTTTTTATTAGGTCCTTATACTTTTATATATTTTTAATCAAGTCCTTATAATTTTTTTTCTTTTTATCAAGTTCTTATTGTTTTACTTTTTTTAATTAGGTCCTTGTAGTTTTTATTTTTTATTTTACAAATAATAACATTTTAAAAATAATAAATTATTGTAACAATCTTATGTTAATATTCTTTTAAATTTTTAGTTAAACAAATATATTATTTATTTTCAATTTGAATTTTTATAATTATAAAATTCAAATTATAATAATAAATTTTTCTAAAATTAAAATATGATTACAAATAATTTATATTCAAGTATAATTATTATTCTGATATTTATTAATTACTAAATGATTATATGAATTATTTTATCCAATTATATAATTATTAATTTAAAAATGAGATTAATTTTAAAGAATAAAGTTAATAAATAATTTTTCGAAAACTACAAAGCACCTAATTAAAAAATAAGTGAAACTATAAGGACCTGATAAAAAGAAAAAAATAGAAGGACCTAATTAAAAACACACGAAAGTAAAAGGAGTTGATAAAAAGAAAAAATTTTATAAGGACCTAATTAAAAATCAGATGAAACTATAAAGACTTGGAGATTAATTATCTTTTTTTTTTTTTTTTTACCACATTTCAGTCTGTTATTCATCAACTCAATTTAGATCGGTGTACATGTGTTGCATATATAGTACAAGTGGGTTCCAACTAAACTCGGTTACAGACTCAAGGAGTTGCCAATTTGACAAATAGTGACAGCTGGACACAGCTAAAGCCCATTGGGCTTATACACTAACACTGGGCATGAGCATGAAGCCTACTTGCCCCCGTCCCTCTTGTTGGAACCCTTTATATTAAATTTATATTAAATTTTTAATTTAAATTGGAATGGTAAGGGTTTCAATAAGTAAAAGAAAAGGAAGACGAAAAGTGACAAGCAAGATTGTATATCTAATTTGCGGGAGACGATGATGAATAGAAAATATAACTTTCTTGTTTTTACCAGCGAATAGGAACTATAACTTTTCTTTTTTAATTCGGTTTGATTAATATGAATTGATAATATCCTTTTGTATTATCTTTGTACTACTTATTTAAAATTTAATTTTTTATATAATTCATTATCTTATGTTAAATTGTCGAATATATATGTAGTTTATATATGTATGAGTATCTCTCAATTTTTTTATTTATACAAAATCTAAATTTATTTTTCATATATGACACTATTGATCTAACTAACACACTGCTGCGTTGTTAATCTCGAAAGTGCAATTTATTAAACAACTAATAATGACATCAATTAAACGATCAACTACTGATAAAGTGATAATGGGATGGATCAACATAGTTCTTTATTTCCCCTGTTGGTTTATAGCTTCATATATACAGGCTTCTTCGTCTGGAAACCGCCCAGTTCTTTACTCTGGTCCGCATGGGATCCGAGGTAGCCAAATTTCTGATGAAACAATACACAGATTCCATCGATGAAGACGATTCACAATCTTCGGATGCAATCTTTGCCAGGTTCAAAGCCATCAGTGAGAAGTTGAAGTCTGAAAGTACAGCGTTAAGCATCCCTGAAAAGATTTCATGTCTTTCCTATCTGAATGACGCCCTCACCGAGTGGCGGATCCTCAAGGAGCAGAACAAGTCGATCAGGAGGATTTTCTTCTGCCATGATCGTGTGGCTCGCTTCAGAGAGCGCTCAGCTATCAACGGTAGACTCCACGACATCGAAACATCGATATTACGCCAGGAAAACCAACCCAATTTCCCGCCGGCTGATGATCAGAATCCATCCTACTTACCCATTCGAACTGCTTCTATTGAGGTCGACAAGTCCTCCAATAAACTCGAGGAGAAAATGGTTGGTTGGCTCTTGACGCCGGGAGATGACTTCACGGCCGTCGGGATTTGTGGGATGAGTGGTTCGGGCAAGACGGCGCTTGTTAAAAACGTTTTGGAACAAAAAGCCGTTACAGACAAATTCAAGCGTATCATTTGGGCTCCCCTATCGGATTTTATAACCTGCGAGGAAGAGATAGATGTCAGACATGTTGAATATTTGCTGTATCGTTTGGGCTTAGATACTGATAGCGTGGTGGACAGTTTCGATGAACATAAGGACGGGCTCATTGAGGAACTAGTGCGTCAATTACGGAAGATCCGAGAATTACATTTTAGTGTTGGATGACATGTGGCACTGTAGCGATTGGTTTGCTGATCATTTCTTAGGCAGATTGAAGAAAATGAAGGGCGGTGCTGCCATTGTAACCAGCCGCAGAAAAACTGTGGCTCGAAAATTCGGTGAAAAGGATAGATTGATTCATCTACAACCTTCAGATTACAGGGAAAGCGCATCTCCTCAGGATATTGAGACCCAATTCCAGCCGTCCACTAGTAAATTAAACCAGTGAACCTGTCTTCAGCAGGCCATGACGTCGAAAGAGTTTTGGATGGATTGTTTGAGCAGATAGATTATATTGCAAAGTTACTCGAAAATTTTTATTCAGAAATGTTGGGTACTCAATTTTTTTTTTTTCCACTGCAAATTGCTTCACAGATTTAATATTGTAACAATATTGCCTCTACCGCTAGAAAATTTCTCTTCCCCACAAGACTAAAAAATTTTGACGCGTGAGTCGTGACTCTTTTGCAAAAAAAGAATCCAAGAAAGAGGCTTGCACGCACTTCAATAAAGCTGGTATTGCTTCGATTAGATGAAGACATTACATCAAATTTTTTGATCAATGCGACCAACCGGAAAAATATCGATTACTTCTAATATATTTTATATAGATAAAAAAATCTTAAATTTTATTAATTTTTATTTAAAATTTAATAAATTTTTAATTTTATCTCGATTCAATATATATTATATTTTATATAAATAAAATCAAGTAAAATTATACATTTATATTAAAAAAATTTCTTAATACTCTGCAAATATGACTAAAAAATTTTGGCGCGTGAGTTGTGACTCTTCGGCGAAAAAAGAATTCAAGAAAGAGGCTTGCACGCACTGCAATAAAGTTGGCATTAGTTCAAGTAAATGAAAACAGACATTACACCAAACTTCACGTGGCATCCAAACCGCTTCAACTTATTGTCTTTTATTATTATTTTTAATATCATATAATAAATAAACATATGCACTTACACACATATTCTCCCTCCTATTCTATATATAAACTTTATTTTTTTTAAAAAATCTGATCTAAAGCATAAATTTTATTTTTAAATTATTATTATTATTATTTTGTTTCTAGTTAATATGTTTAGTACTCACTCCCTTTTATCAATATTATTCTTTTTTATTTTTTATTTATTACCTTTCTCATTTACTTGCTTAATAAATAATGGCAGATTTTAAAAAATATTTTTAATCTATTTGTTATTTTTAATTAATTTTAAATATTATTTTATAATTTAATTATTTAAAGCTTATATATATATATATATAACTGCACGAGTATCAACGCGGGATCAAATCCAGGACATTAATTATTTGTCATTGTAGCGTTTTTGTATATTCTGGCTTAATCGAACGAATATATCTAAATTTTGAAGATACTCGTAATTAATTAATTCATATTCAATTGTGGGAACTCGATCAAAAACCAATTTTCCCACAACCTCAAACAAAATTAAATGAACAAACTTGGAAATAAATATTACAGATGATGAAAGAAAGAATGTAGAGAGTAATTAAAGAAAGCAGAATTTGTCTTTTCTTCTATAATTTAGAATTTTTTTTAATAAGCTTTTAAAAATTAGACATTTATTTTGAGTTTTGAGAAGATTATAACCATTATATTTTTATGGTGAAAAAAACATAACTGTTATAATCTTGGACAATATCCATAGCTTAGAGTGCCCTATCAGAGTAACTATGACATAAGCCTCACTTGGACAATGTCCATAGCTTTTTAGGAGATGTTCATCATATAGGGTCAAAAAATAATGCTTCGAAGCTTCTCATTCTGTGCGCTCATGTTTATAAAAATTGACCTTATCTCCATAGGCCATGAAACTCATAGATGAAAAAAGGCATGGAGCACAGAGTACACTTAACAGACCAACAAAAAAAAAAACTATCAATGAAATAACTGAAAAATTGAATATATTGATTTTCCCACAGCCTGCCTCTGCGCGCTCATATTTATAAGCATTGAGCTTATCTCCATCGGCCATGAAACTAATAGATAAAAACAGGCATGGAGCACAGAGTACACTTGATAGATAGAAAAAACTAACAATGAAATATCTAAAAAATTGAATATATTGATTTTCCCCACAGCCTGCCAAATGCAAGCAAAATCAAAGCAAATACTTCATGAATTTGAAGAATTCATCATAAAGAAATCCTAAGTGCTGGAGGAAAAACCAGGATGACCTCTACCAGTGTAACTATGACAATGAAGCTTTATAGGAGTTTATCCATTGCTCAAGGTAGTTTTTTCATCATTTAGAGATCAAACACTAGAGAAAGAACAAGGAGGAAAATTATATCCAGGTAATACACATGGAATGACCAAAAGCTAATATATACAGACAGGAGAGATGGCGGAACAGAGAGAACGGCGTCATAATATTTACAAATACAGTTGCAAGATAAAAGATCGGATACATAATTAACTTTTTCCCTGGCCATTTATAGAAAATCACCAATCCAGGAACGTGTTATTAATAGCCCATTACTTAATATGACCAAATGTGCTCTAAAAGCACGTACAAAACCCTTTTAAATTTATCCGAAGAAACGTGGGGGGAGGGGGGGGGGGGAGAGAGAGAGAGAGTTGCCTTCGGCTAGGTGTTCTTGAGCTTCA